GGTGCTGAGTTGAGGGCGAGGGAGATGTTGCTTGCCTCGTTACTCCTCACCTTGTTCTACAAGGTGAGGAGTGACGAGGCGACAGGGACAGGAAAATACTCAGTGAGCATTACTCACTGCACCTTGAAGGAAAGTCTTCGAAGGAGGACAGCTCAAAAGACAGGGATGTGTGATGGTGGGACTTGCGACACTGCGAGGCGACACACTCAACGCTTTCTGGCAATGCATCTCTGATTGGATAACCGATTGGCTTCAAAATGTCCAAATAAGCGCACGGAGGCGTGGCGCCTCCTGCATGACTAAACATGTGCGGCTTTTCCTTTTAGCGTCGCTAAGCTCTAGACACGTGGAATGGAGCCGGTGGGGAGGCATACGTACGAGGAAGGGAGCATTACATGACTACGATTGAGGCAGCTGCTGCTGTGTAAGCCGAAATAAATGCTATGACGGGACCAGCCTTACCTCTAGTACTAGGGTTTCGAAGATTGAAACGTCTTGCTGAGAGACTAGCGCAGACACTTGGCTCTGAGCCCCGTAAGAGGCGCCGGACACGCGAAACGGTGTGAAATTCGAAGCTGTGAATTTCACTCGAAAGAATGCGATGGCTTTGTTAATATATAGAAGCAATAGCGAGTGGTAAGGCGACACAATAAGATACCACGAAGAGGGAAAAGCGGAATCCTATCCCGATGACTGGTACTAACTGCTACGCGGATACGATAGTATTATCTGCGCTAGTGATAAGTAGTAACGCCAAGCGACTCGTAGATTCTGCTGCGAAAACTAGGATGGTGGGATGAGCTTGTGAGCATCTCGCTGTATGTGTGTGTGTGTGTGTGTGTGTGTGTGTGTGTGTGTGTGTGTGTGTGTGTGTGTGTGTGTGTGTGTGTGTGTGTGTGTGTGTGTGTGTATGTGTGTGCCTAGCATTGCAAGAGGAGCACTAGAGTACACAAGATGCCCAACCCCTGCACGCGAAATTGCCTCGCACATTCCAGAAACCTTGCACGCGTGGGTTTTTTGCCGGGCAGATGCACGTCAACCACGTTACAAGCACGTCAACCAATACGAACCACAGAAACTGAAGAGACCGAAGTCAAACAGTCAACGGTGAGTTACAAACTTTTATTGTAAACCCTTTTTGCCCGAAGCGAATTGACGAAACCTCCACGAAATGCAAGAATCACTTAAAGCCCGCGTCCCAAATTGCGGAGCGCGAGAGTCAAGTTTTTAAAACTTGACGAAGTGGAGTGTCCAAGCTTTTGAAAGTCACGCACCTGCAATTTGGGACTTTCGAAGACAGACCCACTCACCAGGGGGAAAAACGAGGGTTGGTTGAGTCTCGCGAAAATAACGAACCTAGACGAAATTGGAAACTCTCGCCAAAGCCCACGCCAGAAAAACTCCCTCTGGTCATCTTTTAAAAGCATGAACAATTTGGGCTGTCGGCTTTAAGAGCCCTCTTCACAAGGCAACCTTGGGTTAGTCAAACGGGCATCGTATGTATTATCTTCAGGCAGCGTTCGGCTTGCATGGTTTTCCTTGATGCTAGGTACCAGGCCCACCTCATTCAATGACGAGAGTGTACGAAAGTTGCGTCCACTCTACTGAAAGGGTAACTGGTGCCTCGCAGATGTCGGTCCGGTGACGATAAATTCATGCTTTTGGAATACGAATGTTGTTCAGATTGTGTAACAGGTAACTCACGAACCTGACAAGGTTGAACAGCCTCAAGTTTACCCTGATCAAGGTCTGATTGTCCTCGTATGTATAGCGAGTACTAGTGTGCGATTAGTCGTGACGCTTAGTAGGCGTACATTGCAAGAGCGATATCTCCAATCGCAAGAGGTGGTGACTCAAATCGCCCACGAAACCAGTACGAACGGCGGCGCCGTAACTGTCGCTCATACTGTCTTCCGCGCATCGTGTGCTCTCGTAACTGTTCTGACCCCGCTCATCTCCGCCTCATTCCCTCTCGACACTATCAAAATCGTTTAAATCTCGCCTTCACACAGCGCGCTCTGCAGATTGACTTACTCGCGCCGTTTGCGAGTCACATTGAAAAGCGCGGAAACGCAACAAATTAGGAAACCCTAAATAGAGGTAAGCTTCCTACGTTTTCCCCGGCAGTCCCTCCGCATTGCAAGCCTGAGGCTCGCAGCCTACGAATCGTGTTGCTCGTAGTTCGGTCAGAGTGGACAAATGTGCAAATTTAAGTTACACACCTAGTCACTTGCAAATTCTGCACACTGCCAAGAGACTAGCAGAGTCCCTTGACGCATGCTTGGCCTTGGTAGCATTGCCCCGGCCCCTTTCCATGCTTTCCTTGCCATCGTTCATACAGGTCACGCTGTCACTCACCCGGGCTCTGACTGACCTAGCCTGTGACCCACCTCAGTTTCTGACCAACCTAAACTGTGTCCAACCTAGGCTGTGAGTGACCCACCCTGTGTCCAACCTAGGCTGTGAGTGACCCACCCTGTGTCCAACCTAGGCTGTGAGTGACCCACCCTGTGTCCAACCTAGGCTGTGAGTGACCCACCCTGTGTCCAACCTAGGCTGTGAGTGACCCACCCTGTGTCCAACCTAGGCTGTGAGTGACCCACCCTGTGACCAACTTAAGCTGTGAGTGACCCAGACCTTGACTGTCCTTGCCCGCAATTGATATAACTGGACTGACTTTGCCTGTAACTGGCCCAGCCTAGACATGTGCGAGTCAGCTTGACTCGACCTCGGGTCGACTCACTTTCAGATCAAAATGAGTCGCTCAACCTCGACCTCACTCGCTTGACTGCTGTAGCCTCCAGCTGACCTGTTCTTTGAGAGACCTGGCGTGTGGCTCTGACTGACCTAGCTTGAAGGGAAGCTAGCCTCTGATTGACTTATGTTATGACTGAAGTAGCCAATGAGTGTCCTACCCAGTGACTTTCCTAGCCAGTGAGTGGCCTAGCCTCAGGCTGACATGAATTGTGAATGACATACTGCCTTAGTCTGTGAGTGGCATAGCTTGTGGCTGACCTAGCATCTGAGTGATCTATCTAGGTTGTTAATGACGGAACATGTTCGTGAACTAGCTTGTGACTTGACTAGTTAGTGTTTTTGCTATCTCTTTTTCTGAACTGTAGCCAGTTCAGAGTCTCTAGGTCAGTCAGCCCCAGAACAGATGCATCCACTCTCCTTACTGCCACGGACCCCCCCTCAACCACGTCAACTCTCTCATTCCATTGTATTGTGGTGTGGTCTATGCGTGAGCATTGGGAGAGTCGAATCAAGTCACCGTTACCTGCCTCAGATCGCTTTGTGTCATTGCCATGCCGAGTCTGCCTCGCTTCAAGCCAAAGTGTGTGCGTGTCCGACGGACAGGTGGCTCAGATCCAATTTCCGGGCTGAGGAGGCTCTCAGCAATCTGCCAGGCTCGCCCAGCCTTGCGATTCGCGTGTGAGCCACCTCGTCTCAACTCCTCCAGGGGTAGTCTGCTATTTCGGGGGATTTTGCTTGTCTCACACTCCTTGCCTACTTCAGCCAATGGAGGAGATATGAGAAAATGGGGTCTTGAATGCATCAGATCTGACTTGGAAAGTGTGTCGTAGAAACCCAGCGCGACCCGAGTTGCTCTGGTCCCATGCTAATCAGCTCTCTGGAAACCGAGTTGGGTCCAAGCCCTGTTAAAGTCAATTTCAGGAATCGTCCGTCTCGGCTCAAAGAGCAGCTCAAACGGTCAAGCCACCGTTTGCCCCTTTGCTCATTCATTCGTACTATGGCGTTCACTCACTACCATTTGTCTTCTCCCCTAGTTGTGTGCTTGCCCCCGGCTTCTCTTGCCTGCCTGACTGTGATAAGGCGAAGAGCTGGCAGGGCCACACTAATTATCTCCTGCCAGGCCGAGCTCTTCGACTTGTCGCCATTGCTGCTCCACCTCCGTATGCACAATCCCTCATTCTTGCGACCTTCCTCACCTGCTTGCATTTCTGTCAGGTTCTGATGCAACACACATTGGATACGCTTACTCATTACAACACCTAGAAGCAGGTAAGACGACCCCTGTCCGACTTTGCTTTTCTAGTCTTCTCTTACTGTCTACTCCTTTTTTTCCTACCCGACAGTTGCCTTTTCAATAACCGTCATACTCTTACCATTCTACCTACGACTTTCTTGCTGCCCTATTCGTTCAGCTCACACCTACGTCACACCACTTGTGTGCCAGCCCTCTGTGTGTCAGCCCTCTGTGTGTCAGCCCTCTGTGTGTCAGCCCTCTGTGTGTCAGCCCTCTGTGTGTCAGCCCTCTGTGTGTCAGCCCTCTGTGTGTCAGCCCTCTGTGTGTCAGCCCTCTGTGTGTCAGCCCTCTGTGTGTCAGCCCTCTGTGTGTCAGCCCTCTGTGTGTCAGCCCTCTGTGTGTCAGCCCTCTGTGTACCAGTCAGCCCTCTGTGTGCCTCTACAATGTAAACCGCCCTATGCAGTCCCTGCAGCTCTCCACCCTTCTCCCACTGCATTTGTTTCCCCCTTGCTGCAATGTTTGCGGTGTCCCTTTTTAGGAGTACCTGCTGGCATTTCTTGCCTGTCCTGACATCTTGTCTTCACTTTCACCTTTTGGCCTCTGCTGGTTTGTTCCACTGGCGTCTGCGTTCATGCCAAATGCATGAGTGTGGACAGTCTTCTCCTCACTGCTTCATCCAGACATGTTCTTTCTTCCTTCTTCTGCTTGCTTCTTCTCACTCAATTGTTCTAACATGTTCTCATCAAGTCCCCCTCTCTCTCTGCTCCTTACCTCACATCACTGCCTCATCCATCACGCCCATGCGATTGGTCTTGCTTGTGTGTGCACTCACTATACGCCTTCACCCTCTTTTCTTCGTGCATTTCTGTTTTCTCGCAAGACGCTCAAAACTGCCCTACTCAGGTTGCGCGTGTCTGCTGCTTTCACAAGTCTGAAGTGAAAAAGGCAATTGAACGCAAAGATCAGCCAGCCATTGAACGAGGCTGTTTGAGGGGAGTGAGTGGACAATATGGCTGCTGAGAGAGTGCTGAGTGGACTGCATGAGTTGATCAAAGAGGAGGTGCTGGCAGCAGTGAGAGAGGAGCTGGCTGCACACAAGGAGGAGGTGGATAAGCTGCGGCACATGCTGACAGCGGTGAAAAAGGATTTGGCGGAACAAAAGGGCACTATGGCAGAGCAGTGGGCTGAGAGTACTAGGGAATCAGATGCAGGAGGCCTGAAGTGGAAGAGTAGAAAGAGAAGGCACGAAATGGTAGCAGAGTTTCCACGGGAGGAGGAGAGGAGGAAAGAGGTGCAGGAGTTCAACATGCCACATGCCATGGAGGAATTGGCAGCCGGCGAGGAATGGCAGAAGGTACAAGACATGAAGGTGAATGTTAAACGGAGGATCAAGCGGAGTGTAGGCGATAAAAGGACTGCATGGCGGGTGAGTGCTGAGTGGGCTGTCTGTTCCACAGAGCAGACACTGCTTGCCACCCCTTCCTTATCACCATGGTCATCCATTCCCTTGCTATGTTTTCTCTCTTTGCTCATTTCTTCCAGGCAATCAACGCAGCATTACAGAAGTCCGATCTGAGCCTGGCGTGTCTTCGCGGCCTCTCAGACGCCATGCTCATCAATGTGTCCACAATGACCCACCTGACGAGCATTGACTTGGACTCGAGCTCAGGCTTCAGTGCAGAGGGCATCAAGCACCTCTACAGGCTGCCACACTTAGAGAAGCTAAACTTCAATTACAGTGATTTCTTAGACAGTGCCTTGGAAGGCATTGGGTCCTTGTCGCGTCTCATAGACCTCTCTCTCCATCAGACCAATGTGACTGATGCTGGACTATCGCACTTGACAGCTCTGACCTCTCTCAAAGACCTGCGGCTTGGTTATTGCAGTGGTGTGACAGATGCTGGCATGGTGCATCTGGTGAGGCTGACAGGGCTTGAGAAGCTTGCTCCGGATGGCACGGCAGTCACGGATGATGGGCTGCAGCAGCTGACTGCCTTGACCAAGCTGACAGATCTCTATACGCCTTGGCAGCTGAATTTCCCCCACCAATATGACAGTCATGTACTGGTATACACCAAGATGACAGATCTCTATATTTTGAAGCCACCGATGTATGCAGACTTATAGCGAGGTATGGTAGGTTGGTAGGGAGTAATGTGGAAGGGAGGGAGATGAGGTGAGGGAAGAGTTGGCTGACTGGTATGAGGCAAGGGGACTGAAGCACGAGGGAGGGGAGCACATGGATGGCTATGCCAGTTAGGGAGTGTTGGAAACAGTAAATCTTAAGCGCCTCTGTCGTGTCGAAACATCGCACCAGAAGCGAAGCGAACCATATCGAGGCACACGCGAGTCAACCCTCGGAGGTTGAAAGAGGTTGCTGGAGGTTACGCGAAAGTCAAAGGTCAGCGACCTTTGACCTGACAAGTACAGCGCGACAGCAAGGACACACAACTGACTCGCTACAGAGCAGTTGCCCGAGTCGTCACTGTATCGAACCGCAACAGCAACAGTAAAGTAGTTATAACTGTATCCTTTCATATTCCTTGTACTCATATATAAGTGCTTGTATCTCTTTGCTTTAACTATGGTAATGGGAAGTTGAGTGGAAATGGCAACAGGTGAGAGGATGGCAACAGGTGAGAGGATGGTTGGCAGGATTGAGAAAATGGTTATGCAAGCTGGCAGGACAGATGAGGACAGTATGACAAGGCTCAGCAAACACCAATGAAAGGTTACAAGAGAAAGAAATAAACAAACTGGAAACACAGACTTCACAGGGGAAGCGGAATGGCAATAGGAATTGCACAAGAACCGTTCCCTCCTGGTACCCAATGGAGCCTCCGGCGGCCAGTCTACGGTCTCCGCCAGGCGCCACGTGAGTGGCACGACACACTGAGGACGACACTTGCGGCTCTTGGGTTTGCTCCTTCGACTGCTGACCCGTCGCTGTTTCTGCGCACCGACACTTCGCTGCCGTCGTTCTACATCCGCGTGTACGTCGACGACTTGTTTTTTTCCACTGCTGACACTGAGGCTCTCGCCCTGGTGAAGTCGGAGCTACAGAAGAGACACACGTGCACAGACCTGGGTGAGCTGCGCAGTTACCTTGGCTTGCAGATCACCCGGGACAGAGCACGCCGCACCATCACACTGACTCAGTCACACATAGTGCAGCAGGTCCTTCAGCGCTTCGGCTTCACCTGGTCCTCCCCACAGTCCACTCCTCTGGCTATAGGTCACTCGCTCTCAGCTCCACCTTCGGACGAGTCCGTAGAGCCGAGTTGTCCTTACCCAGAGCTAGTGGGCCGCCTCATGTACCTGATGACCTGCACTCGACCTGACCTTGCGTACCCTCTTGGCCTTCCTGCTCGCCACGTGGCTCCTGGTAGGCACCGAAAGGTGCACTGGGAAGCTGCGAAGAGGGTACTGCGCTACCTGTGCAGTACATCAGGCATGGGGCTCGTGCTTGGAGGACGGGGTGACGTTGTCCTCACTGGACACTCTGACGCGTCTTGGGTTGACGACCAGGCTACGCAGCAGTCGTCACAGGGTTACACCTTCAGTCTTGGCTCTGGCTCTGTTTCTTGGCGGTCTACACGCTCGTCTTCTGTTCTCAGCTCCAGTTGTGAGGCTGAGATCTACGCCACAGCCATGGCTGCACAGGAGTTACGCTGGCTCACCTACCTGCTGACTGACTTGGGAGAGCGGCCTCATTCTCCTCCAGTTCTGTACGTTGACAACAAGGCCGCCATTGCCTTGTGTGAGGAGCACAGACTGGAGCACAGAACGAAGCATATCGCTCTGCGTTACTTCCTGGCTCGAGAGTTACAGCAGCGAGGTCAGCTTCGTCTTGCTCACGTGGCCACTCGGGCCAACACTGCTGATATATTCACCAAGGCACTTCCGTCTGGTGATCATCAGCGCTTCTGTACCTTGTTAGGCCTTGTACCTACGTTTCCACACTTGCTGTAGGCTTTGCTTGTACTGTGATCTATATACATATACCTGCATGCTTGCTCTTGCTAGGTGGTGATCACTGTGATGTTCCTGTTGCATATATACCTTTGCATGTGGACTGGCCTTGTGGCCCTTTGCTTGTGCTCAGTGTGTGTGGTGACGTTGTGATCCACCCTGAGCTTGCTTTGCTTTGCTTGACTGGTCTTGTGACCCCTTGCTCTCCCCCACTTTGCCTATGGGGGTGTGTCAAATTATATATGTAATATATATGTGTAGGCTGTAGTGGGGTAGCCAATATGGGGTATAGCCCCTTTAGGGTTTCATATTTGTACCCAACTTCATTCTAGTTCATTCATTCCTGCCTAGAATTTTGACACATGCCACCACGAGCCACGAGCATGCTAGTGACGCTCGCTTTCGTGCCGCTCTTACTGACGATTTCCTCTCCACGAACCAACCCCCGCTGTACTTTACCCTCTACATCCTCGTCACCCGCCTCCCTGACACTCTTCGTTCAGTCAAAGACCTTCCTTGCCAAGGACCCTACCACCATCACTCTAGACGACTTCGCGCAGCAGCTAGTCGCAGCAGAGAAGAACATCCTCGCTGTAGGTGCTGCTCGTGGCACTCCCCGCACTCCCCTCTTTGAGGGGTGCTCCCCCTCCCCTCTTGCCCCCTCCTACGCCTCTGCTGCTACTGCTGTCGACTTCCTCGGTGCGGAGAAGGTCGCAGCGGCTTCCGCTCCTAGTGGGAAGCGCGGCGGTGGCAGGGGCGGCAAGGGTGGCAGGGGTGGCGGAGGTGGCGGTGGTGGGAGTGGTGGGGGAGGCGGCGGGGGTGGTGGAGGTGGTGGGGGTGGTCGTGGGGGTGGAGGCGGTGGGTGGGGTGGCGGCAGGACCGGGGGCGGTGGAGGCGGCGGCGGCGGTGGTGGGGGAGGAGGCAGCGGCAGTGGCGGTGGAGGTGGGAGCGGAGGTGGATCTGGCCAAAAGGGTAGCCCCAGTGGTGGCAGCAGCAGCAGCAGCAGCAGCCACAGCAGCAGCAGCAGCGTCAGCCCCTCACCTCCCAGCAGCTCAATGACTGGTATGCTGGGCGTGGGGCGACTCGGGGTTCTGACCGCTGCCCCTATGTCATTCGCACAGGTCCCCGCAAGGGTCGCACCTGCGACGGTTTTCACACTGAGTACCGCTGCTTCGCTAGGCTTAGTGACGCCTGGCGCGCCAAGTATCCTGATGCTCCTGAGTTCCCCAACTGGGAAGAGCTACTTAGGCGTGATGTGCCTATCTTTGATCTGGACTATGATGCTATTCTTGCTGCCATGTATGCATTGACTGTTAGTGCTGAGGGTGACTGCTACTTGTGTGTCCCGCCTGACCCAGGTATAGAGACTGCAGCCCTAGGTGCTAGTGAGTCTGCCCCTTCTGGTACTGCGTCCGCTCAGGCTTTGCACACGTTCACACTTGACTCTGGTGCTTCGCGCTGTTTCTTTCGTGATAGCACCACCGTCACCCCCCTCCCTGCACCTGTCCCTGTCTCACTGGCTGACCCCTCTGGGGGCCCAGTGCTTGCACGAGCCACGACTGTGCTTCCGTGCCCGGCGGTCCCGTCTGGTGAGCTGTCAGGTCTCCACGTTCCCTCGTTCTCTACGAACCTGGTGAGCAACGCTGTCCTTCAGGATCACTGGGTTGACACCTGGACTCCTGGAGGGCAGCGTGTGGCGATCCTCACGTGCTCCAAGACTGGCCGCCACCTGGCCACGTTCACTCGTGAGCCGGGGTCCAGTCTGTACACCCTCACCACTGTTTCACGCTACACTCCTTTGTCTCCACAGCTGTACGCGTCTGCTCAAGTAGCTACCCAGTGTGAGTGTCGCCGCCTGTCGCACGACACTCTCCTGTGGCACCACCGCCTTGGTCACCCCTCCCTGCCTCGCCTTCGGAGCATGCACTCTCGCTCCCTGGTCTCTGGTCTTCCCAGGTCTCTGCCTGCTCTCCCTCCCTCGCCTGCGCCGCCCTGCATTCCTTGCGTCGAGGGGCGGCAGCGCGCCGCTCCTCACTCCTCCTCGTTTCCTCCCACAGAGGCTCCCTTGCAGACTCTCCACCTGGACGTGTGGGGCCCCGCCCGCGTCTAGGTTCAGAGCCGCGAGCGGTACTTCCTGCTAGTCGTTGACGACTACACACGCTACACCACGGTCTTCCCCTTGCGCAGCAAGGGTCAGGTCCCTGCTGTTCTGATCCCCTGGATCCGTGCTGTTCGTCTCCAGCTCCGCGAGCGGTTCGAGCGGGACTTTCCTGTCCTGCGTCTGCACTCTGACAGAGGTGGTGAGTTCTCCTCCGACCTCTTGGCGGCCTTCTGTGAGGACCAGGGTTTTCGCCAGACGTTCACGCTTCCGGCCTCTCCGCAGCAGAATGGGGTTGCTGAGCGCCGCATTGGCTTAGTCATGGAAGTCGCTCGTACCTCCATGATCCATGCGGCTGCCCCCCATTTTCTGTGGCCGTTTGCAGTCCGGTACGCTGCGCATCAGCTCAACCTCTGGCCCCGTGTCTCCTTGCCGGAGACCTCGCCCACACTGCTGTGGACGGGGGAGGTTGGCGATGCATCGCGTTTCCGGGTCTGGGGTGCTCGTGCCTTTGTCCGCGATACCACCGCGGACAAGCTCTCCGCTCGCGCCATTCCTTGTGTCTTCCTCGGTTTTGTCCCTGACGCGCCTGGCTGGCAGTTCTACGAGCTCACCTCGCGGCGTGTCTTTGCGTCTCAGGACGTCACCTTTGACGAGTCCGTTCCCTTCTACCGTCTCTTTCCCTACTGTTCTTCCCCTCGCACCCCCCCGCCGCTCTTCCTCACTCCAGGTCCTCCCCAGGTACACCCCCTCCCCGCACCAGGTCCTGCTCCCTCAGGTGTTTCTCAGGTAGACCCTCCCGTGCCTGCACCTGTTGAGGTCACTGGTGACTCCGGTCCTGCTGGGGGTGCTGCTGTCTCTGGGGGTGCTGGTCCTGGAGGTGCGGAGCTTGGGGGTGCTGAGCCTGGGGGTGCGGAGCTTGGGGGTGCGGAGCCTGGGGGTGCGGAGCTTGGGGGTGCTGAGCCTGGGGGTGCTGAGCCTGCGCGTGAGGAGCCTGGGGGTGCGGAGTCTGGAGGTGCTGAGCCTGAGCGTGAGGAGCCTGGAGGTGCTGAGTCTGGGGGTGCTGAGCCTGCGGGTGCGGAGCCTGGAGGTGCGGAGCCTGGAGGTACGGAGCCTGCGTGTGAGGGGTCTGGGGGTGTTGGGTCTGGTGGTGCTGAGTCTGGGGGTGAGACGCCTGCGGTAACTGTGCGACTGCTGGTGCGCGGTCTCCTTGGAGTGGCCGCCTTCGTCCGCGTGTGCCTCTCACCTCCCAGCAGCTGCACGACTGGTACGGTCGCCGTCAGCGTCGCACTACAAGAGCTCGAGGCTCTGCCGCTGGGGGTGCTTCTGCTGACGTCACTGGAGTTGGGAGTGGTGCTGGTTCTTTGTCTGCTGGAGGTACTAACGTTGCTAGTCCCGGAGGTGCTTGTACCGTTGGTACTCGAGCTGCTGGGGCTGGTGGTACTGTCCCTGATGGTGCTGCTGCTGGGGACACTGCGACTGGAGACCCTGGGACTGGGGGTGCCGGTTCTGGGGGTGTTGCTGCTGGTGGAGCTGGTCCTAGGGGAGCTGACACTGGGGGTGCTGGAGTTGCTGGAGTTACTGGAGCTACTCGAGGTGCTGGAGCTGCTAGTGCTGGTGGCACTGCACAACTGCGACTGTTCTTCGCTCCGCCGTCTCCGTCGTCTCAGCCGCCGCCTGACTCTGTGCTTCGCCAGGTTCTTAGTCTCCCGTCTTCTACTGGTCTTCAGTTACTGCCTGGCTCACCACTGCCTGCTCCTTCTCCTTACACTGAGCAGTCAGGGGGTCTTACTGAGCGTCGTGAGCCTGCGTCGCGTCCTGTCTCGCCTGTTCGTTCCGGTCATACCGTTCGTCGTGTCCCGCGTTCGCGTTCGCCGACTGTCTCCGGCGCGCACCTTGTCGTCCGTCGTCCTTCCTCTGTTCCGCAGTCTGTTCCTCTGCCGTCTCCTCCTGCGTCTTCTTTGCCTGACGTTCCGGACCCTGCGTCTGACCGTTTTCGTGCTGAGCACCCTACTGTCACGCGTCTGCTCGCCACTGTTGTCACTGACCCGTCGTTTGAGTCTGCTGCTGCGTCTGCCTTGGTTGCTGAGCTTGTTGACTTTGCTGCTGTCTGTCGTCTCGACTACGCTGCTAGTCTTGTTGCTGAGTCTGAGTCTGTCTGTCCTCCGTCCGTCGGGGGTGAGTGTGCTCTTAGCATGGACGTCCTTGAGGACAGGCACGAGGACCTTGAGTGTCTTGCAGCCGCTGCGCCTCATCTCGTGGCCATGCTGCTTGCCCCTGAGGGAGACCCGGATGCTATAGACATCCCCACCCCGCGTTCTTACGCTGAGGCGATCGCGGGTGAGTACTCCTCTCAGTGGCAGGCAGCCATGGACGCAGAGATGGCATCCTGGAAGTCCACAGGCACTTACGTCGATGAGGTTCCCCCTCAAGGAGCGAACATCGTCGATGGCATGTGGATTTTCAGGGTGAAGCGGCCGCCTGGTTCTCCGCCTGTCTTCAAGGCTCGTTACGTGGCTAGAGGCTTCAGTCAGCGAGAGGGAGTCGACTTCTTCCAGACCTTCTTCACCACCCCGAAGATGACCACTCTTCGGGTGCTGCTACACGTTGCCGCTCAGCGTGACTACGAGCTTCACTCGCTGGACTTCAGCACAGCCTTCTTACAGGGCAGCCTCCACGAGGAGATCTGGCTGCGCCGCCCACCTGGCTTTACTGGGTCGTTCCCTCCTGGTACCCAGTGGAGCCTCCGGCGACCAGTCTACGGTCTCCGCCAGGCGCCTCGTGAGTGGCACGACACACTGAGGACTACACTTGCGGCTCTTGGGTTTGCACCTTCGACAGCTGACCCGTCACTGTTTCTACGCACCGACACTTCTCTGCCGCCGTTCTACATCCTCGTGTACGTCGACGACTTGGTCTTTGCCACTGCTGACACTGAGGCTCTCGCCCTAGTGAAGTCGGAGCTGCAGAAGAGACACGCGTGCACAGACCTGGGTGAGCTGCGCAGCTACCTTGGCTTGCAGATCACCCGGGACAGAGCTCGCCGCACCATCACCCTGACTCAGTCACACATGGTGCAGCAGGTCCTTCAGCACTTCGGCTTCACCTGGTCCTCGCCACAGTCCACTCCTCTTGCTACAGGTCACTCGCTCTCAGCTCCACCTTCGAACGAGTCCGTAGAGCCGAGTGGTCCTTACCCAAAGCTAGTGGGCTGCCTCATGTACCTGATCTCTTGCACTCGTCCTGACCTTGCGTACCCTCTTGGCCTTCTGGCCCGCTACGTGGCTCCTGGTCGGCACCGAAAGGTGCACTGGGATGCTGCGAAGAGGGTACTGCGCTACTTGTGCAGTACATCGGGCATGGGGCTCGTGCTTGGAGGACGGCGGTAGGTGGTCCTCACTGGGCACTCAGACGCCTCTTGGGTTGACGACCAGGCTACACAGCGGTCGTCACAGGGTTACACTTTCAGCCTTGGCTCCGGTTCTCTTTCTTAACGTTCTACTCGCTCGTCTTCTGTTCTCAGCTCCAGTTGTGAGGCTGAGATCTACGCCACCGCCATGGCTGCTCAGGAGTTACGCTGGCTCACTTACCTGCTGACCGACCTGGGAGAGCGGCCTCGTTCTCCTCCAGTCCTGTACGTCGACAACAAGGCTTCCATTGCCTTGTGTGAGGAGCACAGACTAGAGCACAGAACGAAGCACATCGCTCTGCATTACTTCCTGGCTCGAGAGTTGCAGCAGCGTGGTCAGCTTCGTCTTGCACACGTGGCCACTCGGGCCAACACTGCTGATATATGTCAGAAATAACTGAGCAGGAATGAATGAACTAGAACAGAGTTTGGTACAAGTAGGAAACCCTAACTTTGTGTACCCCCTAAGGTGTAACCCACTACAGCCTAGACAATATAAACATGCAATGTTTGACACACCCCCATAGGCGCAGTGGGAGACAACCACAGGGT